TGCAGATGCGTTGTCACCCCTGAGGACTAAGATGGGATGCCTCGTTTCTAGTAGGAAAGGTCTCCATTTCTCTACACTCACCATGCGTAACACAGCACTATTAAGCTGCTGTGTCTTGCTTAGGCTGCTGTCTGTCACGCTGGTATTCTGTGAGAGTAAGAGTTGTCCTACTCCAGTCGAGCCGACCCATTCGTGCTAAAATCATAATGTAGCTGCAGCATAGCGTACTTATCATATATATGAACAACGTAAATGTTAAGTTAACTCGGATTACCTTTAGCATTTCATTTTTTTTGTACGATTTACGCAGAACGAGCTTACTCGCAGTATCTTAAAAGACTTTCTTGGATGTTTGTGCCCGGATTTAATATTATTAATTATGGGGTTCCGTACAGACGAAAACATCCAGCTATCTTATTTATTGATATAAGGATGTTTTTAATTTCAAGATATGTCGATGGTTGGTGAATTCAGCGGCTTTTAGTACGCTCTTATGAAAGCCCACTTCAAGATGAAGTCAATATTGTCTGTAACTCCTGTGACATACAACAGACACCAGGCAGGCAGGAGTGGCCAATTTCTCTCCGTCACTCTGATTGCTTGTACGTCTTACATCCACTTACTTGTGATTAACTTACTAATAAAATATAAACTTGACGTTTCTTCGTTCTAAAATTAAATGAAAGCGGAAGCTGTTCGTTTGCAAGATATAAATTGTTGGTTTTCCGGTCTATTTTACGTAAGATTGAAATATATATAGCCTTGAAAAAACTATAATTAAACACATACATTTAGTACCTTTAGGAAATTACCGCACGTGGATCCCTCGCGCCGATAGCCTCTACAGCAAAATTTATTGTTTAATATTTAAATAGTTAATGATGGTAACTAATTCTTTAAGTTTTTCCTAGTTCTGTTATATTTATAGTATATTTTAAGTTGACTGCAGGCATCTATGTAATACATTACAGTAGCCATTTTCCATCAAGTGCACTGTTAGTTTTGTTGTGACTTAAGTTTTATAAAAAATGGAGAGTGCACGTGTGAATTAATGACTAGAATTGCCTAATTTCTTTCCATTGTCGGACAACAAAACGCTCTGCGGTTTTACGATTTAGTTGTAGATACAGCGGCATTAGAGCGTTCGTCGAGACTTAATATAACTTGCCTGCATCAGCCCTCCGTCTGAGTAAAATGTTACTTGGATTAAATAAACTGTAGCTTTTTAGGAGATGGTCCCTTCCAACACTTCATCATATCTAATGATTTACTTTAAATCTGTGCATGTGTGTTTGTGCTTGTGATTGTATGTGTGGGTGTATCTGTGTGTGTAAGTCCTAGATAAAAATCAAAATACAGATTACCGATGCCTGCTTTGCTCTTGGCTACAATGTAATGCCCCATCATCAGTAAAAAGGCCTCCGGTTAGCTAGGCTCACAGTACGAAACACAGCAGTATTATGCTGCCATGTCATGCTTGTATTTTGTAAACGCGTGGTCCTCTGTGGGTCAGGATAGCCCGTTTGTGTGGCAGCCATAATACAACTGCACCGTGGCACTATCATGTGGAATGTACTTTTCCCCAAAAGAGATTCTCATTTCCAAGCAGTACACCAAATTTAGTTTTTTTTAACATAAACACTCATAAACACTCACGCCTGTCACCCAGAGGGGTAGGCAGAAACTACAGATTTCCATTTGGCACGATCCTGACACACCTCTCTCGCCTCCTTCACATCCATACACCTACGCATACATGCTCTTTTTTAAATTATAATATAAAATTACAAAAAGAACAGAATTATGATCGATAACAGCTCAGTCACGCAGTGGTTAAACTTTCGGTGCGGATTAAGGGTTAGGGCTTGCAGGTTTGAATTCCAAACGCAACACATGGTTGTACAGCTATTTTCTATAAAGTTGTAGTGACAAGCAATCTGACAGTTCATCTGATGGTAAGTGCATAATACCATCCATGGACTTTTGTAACCAACTTCAAAGCAGGCTACAGATGAGTTGTCACGTCCGAAAACTAAGACAGACCGCTTTATAGTCTGTAGTTATATTCGCTCAATATACCCTTCAGAATGGAACACATAATCTAGACCGAACTTCGGCCACGGTCAACTGTTTCAACGGAGACTAGCTATCTGCGCAGGACATGAGTGCTCGAGTGTATGCGCTCCCTATTCCCTTATTTTCATAGTCAGATGGGTGGATAATCCAAAATGACCGTGGAGAGTTCAGGCCCAGCAGTAACGGCTTTATATGTTTTCTGAGTCACGGGGGCGAAACACCCTGATTCCCTGGTGTTACTGAGAATTTATTGATAGAAAACTACAATAACTTTTTTTTCCTGTCCCAGGATTTGAACCCGTTACTCAATGATCAGCAATTGCATTTACAATCAGTAGACCAACAAAGCAGTTAAAGGTAGATAAAGTGACGCCTCACCAAAATCCTGCGCATAATATAGGAGTCAAACCACCCAGTAAAAGCTTCCAAATAATTATTCCGTGTTACTTCATGTATATAACGTACATTTAATACATTGTTACGTATTATTATTAATATATTTTTTAAATGCAACCTTTCAAACATCATAATTTACAACAATACGTGATTACAACTTTTATAAACGTCAATAGTAACAACTCCACGTTCTAAGTTTTAACCTTTCAGCTTAGCGCGAGTACGTGCCCTCTTTAACCAGCCGCGGGCGACACGTTTACACAACGAATTATCAGATCTTCCACTTAGAGCACACCTAGATTGTAACTAAGTTTTAAAGTTTTCAAAAAATTTATATTATTCGTCAGGTGGAGGTGTAAGAGAAACAATGATCTATAGAGGTAAGAGTGAAGAGCACACCATCCACCTTATGATAAGTAAATGCTATGGGCGTTAGGCCGCTCTTTATTCTCGCTTAAAAATCAAAATTCAGATACATTGCGTTTGCTTGTTACCGCTGAACTATTAGATATAATACCTTTTTTATAGAAAAAGGGTTACGAATTAACGAGCACAGCTTTGGCTGATGGAAAGGTTATGCTGTAGCACATAGACATCTACATGTATCTTCGATCGATAATCAAATTTTAAATGCGTAGTCACTTTAAGGGCTATAGAATGCCTGGTCTCCAACAAAAATAGAACGCCTCATTACCGATAAGTAATACTATTTCATGTAGACGAAGGAATATTACAAGCTCAAGGTAACAACTAAAATATCGTCCTAATAGTTATTAGTTATTTAGGCTACAGAGCGTGCCAAAGATGTAGATTGCTACTGGCGTAGTCGGGCAGAAACAGAAAAATAGACATTTGTAAGTCTAATTGTGGACCTTCATCTCTAAGAAGAATTCACCATTCAAAACTCAATGAAGTTATATAAAATATGATTATTTCTTTAACGTAATATAATAAATTTCAATTGTCAAAGATACTTTTTAAAATAGATTAAGGGTGACGCAAGAGCACACAGTCCACCTGATGGCAAGTCATGCTGTGCCCCACATGTACATCTATCCTCGGTTAATAGTTTGTTTGAAAGCAAACATATACTTCGTTCGTATCACTTAACCCGAGACAAGATAATGAAAGCGTGGCGTTACAAACTGCCGCCATCGTGCCGTAAGTCCGCGGTAACGGGCAGTTTACTTGCTATTGGAATTTTCTCAGTTCTTCTGATGATGATGTCACCCTTTATTTTTCGAGTAAACTAAAACGATAAACTAATAATGTGTAACAATAATATTTCAATCATATATACACCGTCTAGTGAAGAAAAAAAAATTAAATCAGACTTTTAAGCTATTTTAAATGGGGAAGAAATGAATCCTGTTAAGTCCTCTGTTTTTTCTTGGCATCACTCTCGACGCTAAGCTTCAGTGGGGCCCAGATATATCCAAACTAGCAAGCAGACTAAGCCCTGCGGCTTATGCTGTAAAAATGATTAGAGATCTCACTAGTTTCGAGACAGGTAGATTAGTTTATTTCAGTTATTTCCATAGCATAATGTCATATGGAATTTTGCTATGGGGGAATGCGGCTGATTAAGAAACTATTTTTGTTTTGCGGAAGAGGGCCATTAGAGCTATTTACAACCTTCAACCGAGAGAGTCTCTTAGAGAAGATTTTAAAGAAATAAATATATTAACTTTGGCCTCTCAGTATATCTATGAAAATTTGATGTATGTTCACAAAAATAAAGACAGTTTTAGTAAAAGAGTGACATACACTTTGTAAACACTAGGAACAAACACAAGCTTGTGCTACCAGTTTCTCGAGTCCACAGAGTCAGTAATTCATTATTGGGGCAATGTATACGCTATTACAACAAAGTCCCAGAAAATATACAAGGTCTCCCTATTAGCAAGTTTAAATATTTAATTAAAAAAAAACTGTATAAAAAGGGTTATTATGATATAAATGAATACATGGTTGATAATAACCCCTGGGAATGAGGTGGTCGCTTCCAAGCTGTTTCTAAAAAAAATTCCTAGCTTGGAGGAAACGTTATTCAAATTCAAATTCAAATTTATTTAATTGCCGTAAATAGGGTAAGTGATAGGTTTTTTACAATAAAAATAAGTTGCTTAAAGACCTATTTAGCCATGAGATACGGCATGCAACTGTTTTTTTTTAAATTACCAAATAATATAGGTGGTAGTCGATTCTAAAATGTCAAGTTATTAAATGTAAGTTATATAATTCAAAATGTCATAATTTACTACACCAATATCATAATTAAAATTTAAATACACTCAATCAAAAATAAAGGTCTGATAAAACAGTGATACGCAGTGATACACAGCAATTACGTCTATCATATGTCAACATGCATATTATTATCATTTTGAAATTCTTTAACACTATAATAACATTTTCTTATTAGCCATTCACGTAACTTTTTGGTCATGAGAATCATAGAGCCGTGTTTGAACTGCTTTGGAATTTTATTAAATATTTTTACACACATACAGTAACAACCTTTCTGATAGACAGAAGTTTTTGGTTTATGGTCTAAGACAAGCCGTTTACTATCTCTAGTGCTTCGTGGATATATATCACAAGCTGACTTAAATAACTCTGCATGTTGTTTGAACAAAATTTATATATTTCCAATATGTACATACAAGGGACTGTTAATATACCCAGCTTAATAAATAGGGGCTTGCATGTATCAAATGGACCTTTACCGCATATAGCACGTATACATTTTTTTTTTGCGATGAGAACTCTATTTACTTCAACGCTGTTGCCCCACAGAATCAGACCATAATTAATATTAGACGCGACGTAACCATAACAAGCAGACATAGTTACGCTAAGAGTCGTTATCTTAGTTAAACGCCTTAAGACGAAAGCAAACCTATTAATTTTATTACAAACTTTATCAATGTGGCCAGTGAAATTTAAGTTCTCGTTAAGTACTACACTCAAAAATGAGACCATGGTAGTCCTTTCAATAGATATGTTTTATACAGCACATTAAGTATATTTGCTGCTCGTCCTTTTATGTTAAAATTTGTGAAATTTGTTTTATTCAGATTTACATTTAGATTAATTAATTTAAGATATTGGACTATATTATTAATTGTGTTATTAATGTCATTTTCATAATTATTTAAATTGTCATTATAATTTGATTTAACAATAATGGAAATATCATCTGCAAACATTATGCATTGATGTTTAGTCACTCTCGGTAAGTCGTTTATATATAATAAAAACAATATAGGACCTAGAACGCTACCCTGTGGTACACCAAACTTATTTATTTTATAATTAGAACGATTGGATGTAGTTGTATTTCTCTCGCTTATTTTATTTATTTCTACGCACTGATGTCTATTTTCTAGATATGTTTTAAGCCAAGAGTGAGAAAGACCTCGAATCTAAAACATTATCATCGAGTCCAAGAATAACATTATGTATTAGATTAAAGCACGCGAGGGTAGTTGAAACCCATTTTCCTCCGGTGTAATAATTTTGAATTTCGTTAAATAGTTGAGCAGTCTTTTTTTGCATGGCCTTTTCAAATACCTTTGATAACACCGGTATTAATGTAACTGGGCGATAGTTACCGATTTCAGATTTATTCTGTTTTTGTGGATAGGTTTCACGATCGAGAATTTAAGAGCCTCAGGAAAGCATCCTGTTTCAAAGGATAAATTAATTAGGTATGTTAATACCTGGGCTAGTTCGTTTTTACAGAATTTTAACACTTTTGTTGAGATTTCATCATACCCACATGAGCTGGAATTATTTAGTGATTGTATAATACGAGTAGTTTCTGTTGAATTCACCGGTTCAAGAAAAATTGACTTTGATATATGATTGATCGTTGATAGTATCTTTCGCTTTTTATCCATATCATATGTATACCTTCCATCAGTTAGGTTTACGTAGTAATCATTAAATATTTCAGCTATTTTTGTCCCATTTGTTATTATACTATTTTCGTATTTCATTTGTGTAATGTAATTTTGTGGGGGTTCGCTTTCCGTTACATCTTTGATGAGTTTCCATGAAGCTTTACAAATATTCTGACTATTCTGGAGATATTTGATATTGCAATTTTTTTGGGCTATTGATATGCACTTCTTAAGCATTTTTGAATACCTCAAGTAAGCTTCTCTGTCCTCGTTAGTTTTTTGTTTATAATACTTGAAACGCAATAATCTTTTTAGTTTTTATGCAAACTTTTAATCCCTTGGAGATCCATTTTGGCTTTGAATTTTTATTGGTAATTTTAATTTTTAATTTCGGAAAGCAAGATTTATAAAGTGTGCAAAAAGATCATAGAATCTATCGAATGCTACATTCATGTTTTTCTCGTTGTAAACATCTGAGAAAGATAGTGACTGTAAGTAGCCACGAAACTTTAGAAGATTTTCATTGCAATAGTCTCCCTTGTGTAAGAACCAGTATTGTAGACTATGAGTATTTTCTATTGAGAATGACAATATTTGGGCAGTATTATGATTAGATAGATGAAGCGGCATTGTCATGCCCTTAGCTTGTTTAATATTACTTAAAATGTGGTCTATACAGTTATTTCCTCTAGTAGGTTCATTTATGTGAATTGTTAAATTAAAGTATTTAGCCATATCTTTTAATTGTTGCGATGCTGTAGATCCCACTAATGTATTTATATTAAAATCTCCAGTGATGATAACTTTATAATGTGTGAATGTCTTTAACAGTTCATGGGTCACCGCTTCCAGCCTCGTTAAAAATGAGTGAGCAAATCTATTGTGAGAGGTGTAAACACATAATATCATTACTTTGTATTTAGGGATTCTTATTCCGCAGCACTCAAATAATTCTGGTAATAAGTACTTGTCGAAAATTTTGAGTTCGTTGCAAGTAAGGCCCTTCTGCAGAAAGATGCAGGTACCACCACGTTTATTATTTCTAGAATAGCTTGCTGCTTGTTTGTAATTTGAGAGAGTAGCATTTTTCGCCTCACCTTTTTTTATAAATGATTCTGAGAAGCATATTACATCAGGTTCTGAATCACAGTCTTTCAGTTCAGAGAGCGTCACTTCTAAAAGGTCCTTTTTTGAGAGCAAACCCGCTATATTTTTGATGCAAAATAATAACACGTTTTTTGTTTAGGTCTTTAACAGATTGATTGGAGGATGTTTTTGGGTTACTGTGTGGAAAAGATAATTTTGCCGTAAAAAAGTCTAATATGGAAGTCTGCTTCTGTCTATATTCACAATTTGTCAGTTTTTGTTGTGATTTCTTTAACACTTTTCCGTTACATCCGCTCCTCTGAACATGGTTTTTGATAAAAGAATAGTTTAGAAACGTTTTCTCGTAATACAAAGAATCAATAAACATGTTAATACTATGACAGGCGTTCTTTAAATAACAATGATAATAATTTTTAGTTTCAATAAAGTGACTATTTTTAAACTTTTTACATATTAATTTTAATTGCGTGTTTATTGAATTATTATTTAAATGTTTACTATTAGTTACATTCATTACAATAACGGTGGCATACTTTAGTAATTTCAATGCAGCATATAATTCTGCTATGGCGGTTACCGGATCATCATCGTTTTCTCCTACACATAAAATTACCTTATCGTATGTGTCTACCTTTAAATTGGTACATATCTTTAGGACTTCTTCCGTAGATGCAAATGGCTTGATGAACGCTGTTACTTGGTAGTCCTCGTATCTGCTATTCATTCTTGACTTAGTGAGTTCTGCCGCGAGACCAATGCACTGTTGCGTCCCCATAATGAAGATATTCTGTTTGGTGAATGCATTATTTTTTTTATTGTTTTCAGTTTTGTCGCGAGATGTAAGCTGTTCTTTATCCCTTTGAGTAGTGAGCTTGATGCTAAGTTGTCGTTTTTGATTCTCTATCTCGGTAATCTCTTTTTTGGCATTCAACAATTGTTCTTGCGATTCTTTCATCTTGTTTTGTAAGGAAATTATCAAGTTGTTACATTTTTTATCACATTTCTTGGAAGAAATTGGAGAAAAGTGTAATGCGTTGTTAGTTAGTAAAGTTCAGAAGTATTTGAGGTGGTAAGTGAGACGTGAAATCCCTTATTTATCTCATTTGTGGTTTTAATTATTGGAGATCGACAGATGTTCTTTAGAACCTCAATTTCCTTTTTTAATTTATTTATTTCTCTTTTGTATTCATTGTTTTCTATTATCGTATTCTCTAACTCATTTTGTGTACTCGAGAGATTAATTTTTAATTCTTTAATTTCTTCCTTCATTTCCGGCATTTCGCATATTTTAATAGCTGAGTAATCTTCACTCTTTGAGAGCATTTCCAAGGAGGATTCCTCTAGTTCATCGCATTCTTCTTCCGTATCGATCCAGCATGAATCTAGCAAAGGAGATGATATATCTACAACTGATTCCGATTTAGGTGATGCAGTTTGTTTAGCTGCTGAGACAGTCTTTTTTCTTAATGTGATGTTTTTATATTCCGTGTGTGAACGTGTAGATTTTAATTCTTTTTTGGCTTTTTAAGCAGATTTTGCATTTCCACGCAGCTTTTTTTTCTGCTTGCATTAATCGATATAGCTTTTCTGAGAAGCCAATACAGTGAAAGTCGAATCTTTTATTGCATTGCGAGCATAATATCGTATCTCTTGCCTCTCTGTTACATTTGCATTTATCACATATAACAGATTGATATCGGCTAGTTTTCATGTCATTATTCTGTTTTCCGTCCATTTTTAATGTTCTTGTTTAATGTTTGTTATTTTTCTTTTTTATAAAATTTGTATAAAAAAAGATATTAGATAATTTTACAAAAGCTAGATTTAAGTGTTAAAAAGAATAAAAATAAAAAATTAATTCGAGGATTTGAAGCCTATCTCGTTGGCAGACCGTGCCCTCACTAAAGACACCACGCGTCACTTATGCTAGTCTTCGAAATTTCTGTTTATATTGTGGTTGCAATGGAATGACAATCAGGTAGTTCATTGACCTTAATTATGGACTGCTGAGTCACAATAGCTATTTCACTTGTAATTACCGTCATAGTCACTATTCACAACGATAAAATTTTAAGTTATTTTTGATAATATCACGTCACTTCATTGCTTACTATAAAATTTTATTTACTTTCTAACGGTACTTGATCTTAGCTTCACGTATATATATATATATATAATTTAGCTGTTAATATGTAACTTTTCGTTTAATTACGAAAAAGATCTACAGAGCTTCGATTTAAAACAGCCGCACGGTCGGATGTACACGACACTCTCCGTGTGTCCACGAAGTGTCCGCCGCGCTGCCCCAATGCGTGATGGCGAACTTCACATGTCTTCGAATGTTTTTTTCTTATTTCTCAGACATGCAGGTTTTCTCGCGATGTTTTCCTTCACCGCCGAGCACGTGGTAAATCAGCACTTAAAATTGCAATTAACAATTTCATTGGTGCCGGCGGGGATCGAACCCGGTTTGCTCGCATACTGTGAAATTTACAGCGAGCGCTAACCATCTGAGCTACCACGGCTTCGCAAACATTAGTTTTATAAAATAAAATGAAATGTATTGTTTTATATCATAGAGGGCAAACGAGCATGCGGTTCACTCGTAGCACGCGGCACGGTTCTTTGAACGCCTTCAATTTAGTCGTGAAATATTGCTTTCATTTTATAATCTATAGATGGAACTCACACTATCGCCTCATTTCCTGTATCATCTACGATACTTCTAAATTATTTGTCTTTAAAAATCCACTTCCGAACACGGGCTTTTTATTTATTTATTTACACTTTCATGCATAAAAGAGTACAGTACCTACAAGTGGCGGACGTAGTGCGAAAGAGTTTTTTCTCCCTGTCGTCCATTAGACTAGGCAAAGATAATGCAACTAAAAATGTAATAATCAAAAGAAAAGGAGAATTAAAAAAGTTAAAAAAATATAAATATAAAACGTTCTTCAATTCCAGGGAAGAGTTGCTTTAATCGTCACGCCTGACGGGCAGATTGACGACAGCAGTAGCAGAATAAACAGAGAAAGAGATAGAGAGAGAGAGAGAGAGAGAAGTGAAGTAAGCACCTTTGACGATGCTTCTCGTCGCAAGTTTGGGAGTTTTACGCGTGAGCAAAATGGCGTTGCCTACATCTTTAGTGAGCCACAATATATTTTTGTTATATCCTTTTTTTTCTTTAAAAAGGTTACCGCCTACGTAACTACTTTTTACTTATATACTAGGATTATTTCTGTACCGTGATGGATTTTTACATATATATTTCACAAGGACATACATGTAGACATGAAACAATTATTTGGAGGCCATATAGAATACTTATTTAGTGCGGGATTCAAACCCGCGGCCCTCAGCGTTCCAAATCAATAGTAAATTACTGATCCATGAATCCGGATCCTTTAGTCGCCTCTTACGACATCCTCAGAAAGAAATGACGTGATGGATTCCCTGACGCTCCCACCACACGGCATTTTATCAGAATTACTATGTCGCCACAGCGCTTTACAAGTCGTTTACGGTCCTGTTATGTGGTCATAATATGTAAATGCAATTTAATGACAGAGATTAAACTTAACCAATTTACTTAATAAATTATACACATAAATAAATTTCATAAGGACAAACATCCAGACAAGGAACAAATACGTAGGTCATACAAATATTTGTCCCGTGCGGTATTCCAATGCGTAACCCTCAGCGCTGCAAATCATTACTAAGCCACTGCACTACGGAGCTGTCAATGAGAGCATCCACGACTTTTCTTTGGAACGAGGTGAAATATTTGACAGATCTCATACCGAGGAAGTTAATTTGTTAGCAAAATAAATGGACCTATGTATCATTCAGTAGTATTATTTAATTCGATTCGCAAATAATTAACAAATTCGGATATTCATAAGTAGAAAAATTAAAAAAAAAGCGTTAAAAATGTGTGATCAAACCACTGCTCGCATTGTTTAGTGTATTAATATAACACTCAAGAAACTGGTAAACTTTTATTTAAAACTAACTTCTTACTTAAATGACATTGTGTAACAAAAACTTCACCTCGGTGCAAACTAGCGACATCTGTTGAGCGGAAGATTATTAGCCCTCATTGTCGAAATTGACTGCAAACTTATTACTTCTTTAATAAAAAAGGAGTAAAAGTAATGAAGATTACCAACATCTTTTTCGGTGCAAGCAAAGATTGATGCAAATCGAGTTTACACCACGTTTGCATTCAACGATCATATTCTGCTTCGTTGCGTGTAAGACGCTTGTGTAAACGATTTGAGGCGCTGTTCTTTGAGGGGTGCGATTATGTAGTTTAAGTTTTCATGCATTTCTAATACGAGCGATGGAAAGAATACGTCAGTTTATTCGTACTTTTATATACATGGAGGTTTTTTTATTTTACATATGTGTGAAAAACGAGCACAAAGTCCACCTGATGGTAAATGGATGCTATGACCCAAAAACAGACTCATTTATATTTATCCTCCATTAAAATTAAGATGCAGATGCGTTGTCACCCCTAAGGACTAAGATGGTATGCCTCGTTACCAGTTAAAACGGTGTCCGGTTCTCTACATTCACCATACGACACACAACAGCATTAAGCTGATATTTTACGCATTTATACTGTCAGAGCGTAGTTCTACCCGTCGAGCCGACCCATTGGTGTTGCAGCCGTAATGCAGCAGCAGCATGGCTTTACCACGTAAAAAATAAACTAAATAATTACTTATAAGTATTAGAGTTCTGCTAGGTGGTAAACATAGAAAATTGTTGTTTTTTTTTAAAGCTTTTATTAGCAAAAAGAGAATACAACTTATTTCATTGGAAAGGTACAACCAGATGCGATCCTAGTACTCCTACTGCGTGGTAGGACTCCTTCCACGCCTAGGAAGAAATCCATCTGGTAAGTGCAAAGCTTTTACCTGTTGCTACATCTGAATATTAGTCCCTACTTAGCATTCACACGTTACGAGACTAAGGAGAATTAAATATTTTTTTTCTCAAAACAGCTTATTTAGTAGGGTCTTAATAGCTTTTTCTGCAATGTATTTTTTTTAATCAATCCAATTATGTTACAAAAGTAAAAGATAAGCCTGTATGCATGTTCCAATCCTGGGCACATGAAAATCGTGTAATGGCGGTGTAAAAATGTCCACTTTCCCATATCATCCCGTGGGTGGAAACTGAAGCAGGAGATGGGCTGCTGAATCTTCCTGATAGCAACCCAAATAAACTGCGTACGGAACAATCCGCCTTTTTAAGTGTGACAACAAAAATCCTTCCTATGAGACAATCTATGTAGGCGTTTTTTCAGCTGTGGATATTCATTGGCTGTAATTAACGGAATAGAATTGTGGGTAGATACATGCTATAAATTATTTTTGTTTGTCTGATTGGTAGGTTTCTTCACGGTGTTTTCTTCACCGCAGAGCACGTAGGGAACATGTGTTAAAAAAGTGTGGGAGGACAAGATGTTGTCAGAACACAAAATATCTCCCAGAACACATTTCTTCGCGATACAAGGAACATAAACTGCACGTATATACACGTATATTATTATTAAATGCCCTACGGTGGTGTACCGCCAGGTAATTTTTCCTCCTTACTGATATCATTTTCCAAGATTTTATTTACGTATGTTAAAATTTTTTATGTTTATGATACAAAAATTTAGCGGAACAGTTTTGTTATTTATGGCAACTTTTTAATATTACCTTAGATAACAAGAGGTATTTGCTCCATTATATCTGATGCAAAGGCGGCGGCCGTCTAGGGTATAGATCTGAGGCTCTAGATATAGGATTTTTGTGTGTTTTTATAGTTCTGAATATTTGTGATCATGATGAAACATGAATATTTATGTATATTAACATAAATATTTGACATTGAATAATATTAATTTTACGAATAAAATTCGTAAAATTAATATTATTCAATGTCATCGGATAT